CTTCATGCATATATGGACAAGTATGGGTTAGACAATAAAAACATACCTATGATTGATCCAAGATAGTAGAAACATGCCTATGAATGTTGCAAGTCCATTGGATCAGTCATCCCTATTTAGTTGTGAGAGCAATTCTTTATCCATTAAATTGAGGGTTGAGAAAAGATGTTGATTTCATCTTTTCATTCAGGGTGCTGTTGCTTCTACAATTCATATTAAGTGTAGAAGATGGATTCACCTATGCTAGCTTTGAGATAGTAGGGTGTGATTTGAAAGTCTTGTATTTACCAATAGAGTTTTCAATACATAGAGTTTTGCTTGCTAGATATTCCAATGGCTACACTCACAAAGATGAGTGTCATGAAAATAATGTGAGTAGATAAATGTCTAAAGAGAAACTAGGAAGAAAGTTCATGAAGCCAAGAAGATGATATAGTCACAATTACCATCATTATGTTAAAAAATACGGCCAAAGCTATTTCACTCAAAGTGGATTTGCATATCGGTGAAAGCCAAAGAGGAAGATGTCTCCATGAAAGTCAAAAAAAGAAAGATGTCTTCATGCAAGTTTTATTCACATAGTTTAAAATCGATGTAGTTTTAATTCTCTTCGGCTTCATGCTTTGTGTTGTCAAGTTGAACACATAAATTAAGAGGTATTCAACTTGAGGAGGCATGTTAGAGAGAGGATAAGTGAGTCATTAGTTAAGTGAGATATGCCTATATAAAGTGTTTAGTGTGATGTGTTTAGAATCTAGGATATGTTATCTTCACCAATCAGGAGGATAACTTGGGTCTCTCTCCTTAATCCTAATAGTTTTGGGTTATTAGTTAATTTCTCAAGTAAGGGATTTGGTTAACTCTAAGAGCGTTCTTGTACTTTGTTCATCATTGATGGCATTTCATAGTCTTTATCCTCATTTCTTTACATGTATAATCTATCCTATTAGTGCTCTGCAACATCTTCAATTCCTCCTTTAATCTTTTAGCAATTCTTACTTCAAATTTGATCTCATAAAATGCATAGTTCCAATACACCCTATAAGCATTGGTATAGGTGGTAAGTGATGAATCTCCTGTAAACACAAAAATAATACATAATGAATCATGTATCCGTGGGACATAATCCAAATTGATAAATTCCTAATAAACAAGTACATCTTAGAACTTTTCAATTTAATATTTGTCTATTAGTTATTCAACATCTTAAAGTACAGATTCTACCTTGCAGTACTCTCTTCACAAAAGCAAATAGGACAATAAATTCTAGTACATAAGTGTGTGCTCTCCTGTGCTTGGTTATTTGCAAGCCATCCATTCTTATTAATATACCAATATGGCCTATAGGCAAGAAAAGAAAAAAAATAGAAATTATTCATTCAAATAATTTTAGACTCAAATAACCTATATGCAAATGAAAACAATGAAATATTTTAAAATCGTGGAACCAACCTATAACTTTATATCTAGGTGACCAATTAACCTCTGTGGCTCAATAGAATAGAATGTAAAACAATGACCAGGCAGCCACTATGCATGTTGTTCCACATGCTTGTTAGTAGAGTGCAATGTGATAAGTACCATTTATTCCCTCACTATTAAAACACACAAATAAATTCCGCATCAAATGCACCTTTCCCTTCTTAAACAAATTACATAATCGATCAATGATATCATCACCACCCAGACATATCAACATTCTACAAACTATCATGTCTAGTGAAAAATGAATCAACTTTTTTGGGTAACTACAATTACTATTCAAAAAAGTGAGTCCTCATAAAAACCTTCTCCATTCTCACGATCACTCTCTAAACTCCATAAGAGGAGCCATAACTTCAAGCCTTTCATATTGTTCAACCATTGTTACAAACAAAGAGAGGCAACAGAGAAATATAGACAAAATGGAACCACCTTTTTGAACCTTGTAGAAGGAAAGTAGAGGATCTAAATACGCATGGAGAAATTTAGTGACTATGAGTATATAAATAAACACACTTCATTCACTTCCTTCTACCTATCAAGACAAACATTCACCAAACAACAATAAATGTGCCTCTACGGTTAATGATAGCATAAAGGACACATAGGGAAGAATAGAAAGTACTTACCTCAACTGAAGATTTTCCCTTCTGAAATTTGAATGATAAAAATAACTAAATCAACCTATATTTGCACAACCACTTATAGAATAACTAACTTATAAAGCACACATGGGGTTCAAATACTATAAATTGATACTACACGTCATAATAAAAAGCATGCAGCTAGAGGAAATGAGTCATTACTGTTCTACTAGTCGTTATTATTCATAGAATAGTAATCTGAGTGAGGAGTTGATGAGGATTGTAAAATAGGCTCAAACTTGCCATTGATTTTATTTAATATTCTTATAGATAAGTTGGGTCACTTCCTTAGACCCATATAGAAATATAAGCTTTATTGTTTTATTTATGTTTATCTTTTAAGTTTAGTTACTATATGCTACAAAAAGGGAGAAATTCTTACGTACACCCGCTGTACCATGTCATTTATGCACTAGCCACTAAGATTTTGACAGCTCAAACAATTTTTATCCTATATGTCAGTGCACCTGTCACACCTCTCCCTTCTCTATTAGTTTAATTATCTTTTTTTTTTAAAGAAATATGTCTTTTTTTCATTTTCTCTTGCCCGCTCTCGAATCTACAAAATATTTTTCAAAAACTTTCACTCTCCCTCTCTCGGTTACCGCCACTCCTCCCATGTCCCATCTCTCTTTCCCTACCATGCCACTCTCTCTCTCTTCCCCTCCCCTCACTATCTCCCGTCGTTGATGATGCCAACGAGCTTGAAAATTTTTAGTAAGCTCTACTACATGTTCCTCACCTCGATACTTAGCACATCTTTTTGTAAATGGATATCACGAGGTCCAACTCCGTTGAAGTGAAAAAGAGTGGCCTATGCCGCCGATGCCACCTAGAAAATGGGGCAACCTACGAAAGGATCATTGTGGTGCTACCTTACCGTTTCCAATAAGTGACGATGCTGATCCCTGAGTAAACAACTAGAGCACTTGTAGTGTTGTTGGTGTATATGAGAGGACTCATAATCGATGACTAGCATGTCGATGCCGGAGGAGGTACAGAACCAAAACATTTCTCATAGGCTGGTAGCTTCTCTTTCTTTTTCATATTCTCCAAATAAATCGGATACCATATGAGAGAGAGATGGAGGAGTAAGGGGAAGAGAGAGAGAGAATGGCATGGTAGGGGAAGAGAGATGGGAGGAGGGGCATTAAATGAGAGAGGGAAAGTGAAAAATTTTTGCATATCGGAGAGAGAGTGGGAGAAAATAAAAAAACATATATTTCTTAGAAGATAATTAAAATAATGGAGAAGGAAGAGGAGTGACAGGTGGGTTGACATGTAGGATAAAAATTGCTTGAGCTGTTAAAATTTTAGTGGCCAGTGCATAAATGACATAGTACACTTGGTGTACGTAAGAATTTCTCACAAAAAGGAGATGGGATTGGTTTGGGCCTATAAAAAAAAGGTTTGGCTACTATATGTTGTATTATACTACCTCTCTAATATAAAACTTAGAACTAATTCAAAAATTAAGAAAGTTATTAAATTACTCGATTATAACACATGCTATATGATTTCTTTAAAATACTTATATGTATCATTAGATTATATATCAATTTATAAGAGTGACAAATTATTTTGGAAAAAAATTGTAAATATAAATACTTTAAGATAGTTTATTAACTTTTTTTAATCTCTCTAAATAAATCAACAGGGTCTTATATTAAAGACGATAGATAGTAAGGGATTAAGGTTTAGATTAGATTAGATTTTCTTTTTAGGCTACAATGTCCTCAGTTCTGTCTTTTAGATTCTTTTCTAGATACAATTATTTTTTTAAAAGGATTAATTGTATACGTTTCTTTTATTTATTTTTAATAAAAAGGTTTCCTTTTTTTTTTTTAAATTTTTGTACAGAAAGTTGTTTTTATTTTTATGAGAAGATTAATATGCAAGTTTCTATAATTTTATTTTATTTTAATTAATTTTGAGGTTTTTATTAGGTTCTTATAGTTTCTTCAATTATAAGTATTGCTTCATAATTTATTAATTTCTAAGAAAAAGATGTTAATTCTTATAGTTTCTTCAATTGCTTCAAAATTTATTAATCCAAGAAATAGATGTTAACATTGTTATATATATTTAAATAAAATCAAAATAATATAAATTATTAGGAAAATCGTAAAAAAAGAACACTAAAATTTAAAAATTGTACACAAGGACCCTTTATAAAATTATTGTCAAAATCTATATTATTGTTGTCAAATACATACTAATCTTGTAACGTGTCCTTATTTGTAATTTTTCTATTTTGACGATTTTTTTCTGCGATCTTTCTTGAATTATTTGTAAGGAGATAATTATAAGTATAATAATTTTTTATTTTTATGATGATAATAAAAAATTTTACTTTATAATTTATTTTTAATTTTTTAATTTTTATTTCGTATTTTGTAATAGCTTATAAAACATTTAACATACAAAACGTTTTATATTTTATTTTATTGTATTAAAATACGTGTAATTGAAAAAATTATGAGAATCTAAAATATCAAGAATAATAAATTAAATTAAATTTCTCTATGTTCCTACATATCATCTAAACATGTAAAAAGATCACAATTAAAAAAAAAATCTAAACATGCGGGTAATTTAATTATAATTCTATGCGGTGATATGAACGGGGGTAATTATATTCGTAGGTAATTTAATTAATTTTCCCAGTTCAATTTCAAATACTAATCTTGGCCCTGAAAATCCATCACCATCCTCATTGATATATCCCAGGCACCATGCCTCAATGGGTCCCAGGTTTTCGTTATTCCGTGACGTTGTTTAAAATATTTTCATAGTTTTGGTCCGATAAGTATACGTGTTTACCAATTAAATTACCGCCAGCCTTTTCTTCTCCCACTCTCAATACAACCGCCATCTCTCTGTTGCGTCTTCATTTGATTCTTTACCTGACATTCAACACACAACTGCCATTCTTCTGAGAACCCTTTACAATTGTTTATTTGGTGTTCCTTTCTTGGTCGCTTCATTGGGTGTATATAAGGAATTCCATCAATTTTCCCAAGCTTTTCTTCCTTGGCACTTTGGGTTTTCCTTGTATGCGAAACCCTTGTTTGTGAGCTTGGGATAGATAACTAGGAAAGTTCTGCAGCTTCTGGCAATTGACGGAATTTGTTTTTAATTGACTCTATGATCGGGAAAATTACCTGCATTTGCATGTCCATTTTGAGCATAGCAATTTGAACTTTTGGTTCTCCTGTCAATCGCCTCAGGACTGGCCGTGATGGTGGAATCCGAGGATCCCAATCGTGGGGCTGATGAAACTTCCCCTGACTTGCTGAAAAACACGCCTTCTAATATTGCGAGATTGGAGGATGTGATCGAGCATTCTAAAGCAAGGCAGAAGTATCTTGCGCAGACCGGAGCCCATCTGATGGGGGCGATGTTAGGTGGTACTTTTGTAAGGTCCCATTGGCGGATAATGGTAAGTTTGTGTTTATAGTGATGCTGCATGAGTGGCAGTTTTATAGTGCTGTTGCATGACTGATAATTCAATCCGGTTCCAAAAGTGGCGTGTGATCATACCCTTCCATCTAAAGACAACAGAGTACTGAACTCTTCTGAGGTTTTAATTTGTTCATCGGTTATATCATGAGCATTAGAAGATGTGGGTGCCATTGTCTTCTTTGTTGTTGTAGTGGATGTCAATGATGATTAGAAGATGTGGCTACATCATCCTAAAGTCAAATTATCACCTTCAAAGATGATAATTTTCTTCATTAGTTAGTGCTTCATCCTCATTATCTTTGGACCACTTACTGCTATGATCAACCTCTTTCAATGAGATTACGTCAATGCTGTCATGAGGAGTAAATCTTCTCCTTGTCGCCTTATTATGTTTAGCAGTTATCAAACCGTTCACTCTTGAGGCCAAGGTTGAGTGAGTGAGTCTTCAGCACTTCACTTTGCGCCATAATTGAATCAGGACTGTTGTTCGCTAATTACTCTGTAGCATTTGCTACAACTACGTACAAATACCTGATGTGGTTCAGCTGCAGTGAATCTCTGATCTACACTAAAGTTTCTGGCAAAGTGCCAGTTGCTATAGCAGCATGTTACAAGCTATGGCATGCTATTAATAATTATGGAACCAAAAAATGCTGAAAATCAAATTGTACTTTTACGTGCTCTATACTTATGAACTGCTCATTACCATGTTAAGCTTAGAAAGGCTCTTAGAAGCATCTTTTAGGTATCATGATAAGTAAATGCCTGCTTGGTTTCAGCATCTGGTTATTAAAACCAGGCACCGCTCTTTATATCCATTATGTTATTTGGCAGAGGAAGTGTCATGGGCGAACAATTTTTTCTCCTTTTATTATGTGGTTCCAATAATGTGAAACTTGGGTATGTATTGGCTTATCGCTTTGAACATTTATAAACGAACTTATTCTTGTGTAGTCTGCAAAATTTGATAGTCTAGGACTTGTATATGAACACCTACACCTTGTATGCTAGGCTGTCTTAATACTTTGTGCATGCTGGTTTTATTATGTATCTAGAGGCATGGATGAGACTCCTACTTAAAGTCCTTTGTCTGTCATACCTCTTTAACTGTGGAAACGGAGCAATCTCAATTATTCTTGACTAGATCTTGGATCCCCTACGCCAAATACAGAATATGTATTTAATTTTACTCTGGTTTCTTGTTATTTGCACACAGTGTTGTCTGCCTCAGTCCCTTCCACGGAAATAGTGGGAAAGAGTGATTATTTTCGTTTTGGCATGAGAGATTCTTTGGCAATTGAAGCATCTTTTTTGCAGGTAAACTAACATATATTCAGATAAATTTATGCATTTCTCTTTGATATTCCCCTTTGCTAGTGCTTTGTTGTGCTCTTTAGAATTTAGATTGTGACATTCTTTCTTGTATATGAATTTGCAGAGAGAGGAAGAATTGCTTTCAAGTTGGTGGAGAGAATATGCAGAATGCAGTATTGGTCCAAGAGAAAGACAAAGTACTGATAGCAAAATAGATAAACATGGTCATGGATCTTCTAAGGGGAGTACTTGGCCATCAGAATTATATGAGATTGAGGAAGAGAGAGTTGGTGTTCCTGTAAAAGGGGGACTATATGAGGTAGCGTTTGTCTTATTTTTGTTGTTAGTTTTCTGCAGCAGTTTCAATAACATAGCATGTAGCATTTTCTTTGGAGATTGTGCCATCTGATAGCATCCAACAGAAGGACTAAATTTCTGACGAGTTTACTTCCCATATCAAGAAATTAATGAGAAGCAATTTATTGATTATGATCTGAGTAAGATATGGCCCAAGTATTTTAAAAGCTGGAACCTCTTTCTTCCTGCAAGAAATGAGGTTGTCGAACATGTGTGTGTTGGTACATTGAATACTTTAAAAATCTTGAGAAGCTAGGCTTACACTGTTTTATATTTCTTTTAAGGAAATGAAAGACTATACAAAGAATAAAATGGAGAATGTGAAATTAGATGCTTTCTTTGTTTGTGAAATAGAGGCACCAGTTCTAGATTGAGCTCCTTCAATACCTGAGACAATATTCCTACTTCCTTGCGTATATCAGAAGAAATAGAACCGCCAATTTAAAATTTAGTTCATTCTTAATTTCCCATGAGAACAACAGAAATCTTATGTGTGGATATTTTATGTTTTTCTAGCTTCCCTTGCACATTTATTGATGTAATATCCAGATCTAAACTCATTCATGTGTCTAACTTACATTTTAAGCATGTAAGGGAATGGAGATAATTATCACTTTTCCCATCAGTATATTTAGAATGTTGCTAAGTGCATATTTGAATTTGGTTTGATGCATAATTTTAAGATAATATGGTTTCTTTCTCTCTGCTCCTCTTTATATTCTCTTCAAGTGTGTGATGGTCAATTGATGCAGGTAGATTTAATAAAACGACATTGTTTCCCTGTGTATTGGAATGGAGAAAATCGACGTGTTCTAAGAGGTCATTGGTTTGCACGTAAAGGGGGTTTGGATTGGCTTCCACTCCGTGAAGATGTTGCTGAACAGTTAGAGGTTGCATATCGTAATCAGGTCTGTAAAAATAGCACAATTTCAGGATGTGCTTTTTCAAAGTTAGTGCTTTAACGCCAAATAGGTCCATAAGCAAGCATGTTATCTCTGAAAATAAGGGCCCGAATAATCTGTCTTATAGTATCCTAACATTATGATTTAAAGAACAACAAATATTTCATCTCAGAATAAAAAATATTGGGCTAAAATCATGTGGCTCACAACACTCTTATTATTTATATTTAATTCATGGGATCCACTGATTGGTATTTTTCCTGGGATCTCCTATATGCGTAGCATATTCCCTTCTAAAGAACTAGTAATCAGCAAATTATTTCTTTTATTTTCTTCTACTATTCTTATTTTCTTCTTAAGCTTAAAACAATGACATATCTACTTACTAGTTCAGGCTTCATGTGATGCGATATTGGTAACCCTTGGTTTCCTTTGTATAATAATAATGTAAATGAAGTGCTTAGAAATTCTATGGGGTAGTTAGGAAATAGTCATTAGTTAGTTAATAGCCGTTGGACTCTGCTAGTCATTAGTTTGTTAATAGCTGTTGGACTCTGCTTCCTCTATTTGTAATTGCGTTGTGATCAAGAGACTAATGTGTTGAACTTCTCAGTTTCTCCCTCTAAATTCCTCTGTTCTTCTCTCTTACACTCTAGCACCTCTTCTCTGTATTTCCCTTCCTCTCCCTGCCCTCTCCTTTCTCCATCTCTTACTTGTGTGAATTACAAACCTCCATCAGCCCCCCCCAAACCAAAAAAAAAAGAGACAAATCCCTAGTGTAGTTGCGGAGGCTACTTAGATTACATTTCACATTCTTCTTCATTTGTAGAGAAGTAGATCGGGGGTTGGGAGCCAAAACATGTTTATTCTTGTTTGTAATCTCTGTTTCGAGGGCAACAAAGATTTATGTTTGATGGGGTCTTACAGGTTTGGCATCGTAGGACGTTTCAGCCATCAGGACTTTTTGCAGCTCGTGTCGATTTGCAAGGATCAACCCCTGTATGCAATTGATTTTGAAGAAATGATTATTATTTTTATATTCATTATATTGTGTTCATTGTCAACATCTTGGCTGTCACTTTATGTCCTGTTTTGGTCATGTAGGGCCTGCATGCTCTTTTCACTGGAGAGGATGATACCTGGGAGGCCTGGCTAAATGTGGATTCTTCTGGATTTTCTAATATTGCTAGTTTCGCTGGTAATGGGATCAAGCTAAGACGTGGTTATTCCCCATCGAACTCACCAAAACCAACCCAGGTTCTCTTTCTGTCTTTCTTGAGGTTTTATTGTTTAGATAGTCATGGCATGCTACGTTACTTCTCTTTCATCTATCAGTGACTGTATATCCTTGTGAAACGCTGTTATAATTGGGTGAGGGAAAGATATTGAGGTCTGGGGTTTTGTCAACAATGCCTTGATACCTGGTAATTGAGTATAAGAATCAAAATTTGATGAACGAGGAGGCTTACATAAAGGTGGTACACTCTATGTCGATCCTTTGAATATTTTAAGGTAAACTCAAGATAATGATTGAGGATAATTTAGGCTTTTAGTAGTAATAGACTCTAAAACATTAGATTATAATATATTAGACTCTAGTTGAAGATAAGGTCTTAGTCTATTAGAAATTCCACTTGGTAGGTGTCTTTACAAAATGCAATCTTAGGGCGTTCCAATCCCCATAAGGGTCTGAGCTAAGAAGAGTTTGTATAGTTGTAATTATCTGCTGATTTTCTCTTATAGCATTTACTTTTTCTTTGAATCTAGATTTGGACTTTTGGTTTTACCTGTGTTCATTTATTTTCTATCGTATCCTCCAAACACAAGATGGCTTGATTGGGATAAATTATGGGGATGGTTAAATCTAGTAATACCCTTAAAAAAAAAAAGGGAAAATATTGTTTGTCTGACTGAATTGGATTAATAATAATGCTTTGTTGTTGATTTGTGTGCCTATAAGATTCATTTCTCTTCCTATCTCTGCTATTTTATTGATAGTTTGGATTACTCTTCTATACTATCAGGTAGTATGACTTTTGTGGAATAAGCTGTTTAGAGTCTTCTTTTAGTCAGTTGCAAACCTTAAAGGGACCGGATGGGAAAAGAGGCCATGACACTGTCAATGGATTTTGGGGAATGATTTTGTTTATGGCCTCACTTTGGTGCCCTGCGCATGTTAGGGTATCTATTTTTAAGATTTGCAGAGAGATTGGGCTGCTTTTCTCCGTGTTTGATCACTAATTTTTTTTTTCCTGTCTTAATTGTCTTTATTTCTTCAGTTCCTTTAGGGGGATGTCTTATAATCTCTGTGAAATGAGAGAGAGTTTATTGATGCATTTGATACTGAATACTAAGCTATTTGTGGAGACAGTGACATATATTTTGCTACCTACCAGCTACTCGTTACCAGTAAATACGAGTCTGTACTTAGCAACTACTCAAACCCTCTGAAGTTGGAGCATATAAATAATATGCACCAAGTTTATTACATATGTAGTTGATCCAAGAATCTCACTTTCTTTGACTTAACAAACTTAGTACCAAGAAAACCAGATCAATATTCTCCCTTATAAAATGGCAATCGACTTCTATATGTTTAGTTCTGTCATGAAATACATATTGGAAATTATATGCATTGTTGCTTGATTATTTTCCAATGTTGAACTCTTCCTCCTCACTTGTATCTCCCAAATATTTTAATGAAGTACTTCTATTTTGTTGGAAAAAAATTGTCCCACTCTTCTTTCTGAATGAAATTGCATTTTCTATTCATGAAAAAGAAAAAATTGAACATTTGTATGTTCTTCCCAGCTGGTAGAAGGGAAATTAAGACTTCTCCCTTTGTTACTAAATGTCATCATTTCAATTTCCCAGGATGAGTTGCGTCAGCAGAAGGAGGAGGAGATGGATGATTACTGTTCACAGGTATGTACTATAAAACCATTTATACATCATTATATAGGTCACAAGTTTTTATCTGCTGTTGTAAAATGAACACAGGTTTAGGAAATTGGCCTAATATTTTTGTGATAACCCCTTTGGTCCTAGATGCAGGATTCAAATAACTAATTTATAAAGATTGAGAAAATTAGTTAAGTTAGTTATTTGAAAATTAGTTAAGTTAGTTATTTTTAAGAAAATATGTGTTGGTTTCCCTAAAGTACGCCTTGAATGATTTACATTGTTTACTACTTCGTTGATGGGAAACTTCTTTAACATGTGCAATCAATAGGGAGAGTTTAGGAAAAAGTTATAAATTTGGGAGACAATATGGATTGAGATCTTATATTTAGAATTAGTGCAAATCCCTCTACTAACTCTTAAATTTAGGTCTGGAGGAGTATATGCAATAATTGACCTCAAGGAGACAATATGTAATAATGCACAATATTGAATTTAAGTAGTTTTGATGTTTTCTGGTAGAAATAAAAATAAACTTTTGCAATCTGTTTTTCTGAGTAAATATTTGGGAAAACATAATCTATAGTGAAAAAGAATAGCTATTCCAGTGGTGGTATTTCCATATATACTTCTTCCGTGATATTCTCTCTTTCTTCAATCTCTGCATAATTCTTATATCAATAAAAAGTAACTTATCATAAGAAAATGGGACATAGGTCTTAGCCCAACTATTTGCTGCTAACCGCGGCCTGTGCCATTGATGCTAACGACCGGCTAGTAGCATGGCTGCCCAGTATTCCTCTGAAAAGTAGCGTGTGAGAGAAAGAGAGCATATGAGCAGCAGCTGCCAGACATTGCCTCCAAAGAGGCAGTGGTAATAATTTTTCTTGGAGAGTCATGAGCAAGTACAAGCATGTTTTCCCTTAATCTGAGTTAGACAATGTTAAATGAGATGAGAGTATACAACTCAATTTGTAGTCTCTATGTGAATAGATCTACATATGTAGTTATCAGTGTTCTACAGTCTTTTCTTTCTCCTTTCCCTTTCCAATGTGAAAATGCGACATACATTTGAATCTTCTGAAGCCTTCTTGTCAACTGGACTATTCCCCCCCCCCCCCCCGGGGACACAAGGAACTGTTCTGCTTTTAGTAGTTTCAGAAAATAGTTTGATTCCTGAACCTGCTTGAATGAGTTATATGACAATAACTAATTGTAGGTCCCTGTTCAACACTTGGTATTTATGGTTCATGGGATTGGGCAAAGGTTGGAAAAGTCTAATTTGGTGGATGATGTGGCCAATTTTCGGCATATTACAGAAACTCTGGCAGAGCAGCACCTTACTTCACACCAACGTGGCACTCAAAGGGTCCTCTTTATCCCATGTCAGGTATCTAATATTTGGTATTTCTTCCCTTCCTCTTGGTTTGTATGTTTTTAAGCTTTTAATGAATTTTTTTTTCTTATTTTCTGCAATGCAAAGGTTACTTCCTACCTGTAAGGACACTTGCCGGCTTGCCGCAGTTTCCCCTTTCTATAAAATTGAACATTTTCTTACCTTATTATCCTCCCACACTTTGGCACATTCTCTACTGTTTAGCTTTTAGATACATTTTAAGGGACTAAGTGAGCTAGCCTACAGATAGCAACTTTGCAAGAGGGCATTCTACCTTCTGAAAGACTTGCTGTGTTCTTTTTATATTTAAATTTAAATATCTATTAATGTGAATAATAAACAGAACGAAGAAAATTCCTTAATATTTTTTCATAACATTGTTTCAAGAAAATTCCTTATATTTTTTCATAACACTGTTCCGATGTGCATGCAAGGCAGAGGCTCGTAGGAGTTAATATAACAATGACAAATTTATTCCTATTAATTAGAAATTATTCTAACATATTAAGACAAATATATGCAGAATATCGTGACAGTTTATTTGAGGGAAATGACTAAAGAAGATGATAGTGTAATTAAAATAAATGTTTATTCATAAATATAAGGACACTTATAGTTTGGCACCAACCGGACCCTGTGGGGCAAGAAATATGATTCCTTTCTCATCCTCTCTCTGAGGAATGCGGGAAGGAGATCAAAGAGTGGTACAATCGCTTAAATGAAGGCAACGTGCCAGGAAAGAAAGTGCTTACCACAAAATACCAACAAGACGATGAGAATTCCCCTTAGGAAGAGTTTATCCCTTATCACAAGGATAACTCCAAATATTGGGCCCTGGATGGAACAGTTCTCACAGGGTAATTTGGGAATTTTTGCTTGAGTTCTAACTACTATGGATTTGTTATCTGGGAATCAATTGACTTGAAGCTTTTATTGCCAACAGGAGACTAGTATGAGAATGTAGATTTCCTGATATCTTGGATGGTACATTGAAGTTTTAAAGAAACAATAATACTCATGGTCGCATGAAAAACATACTATAGTTCTATGATTATTCATCCTTTTATTGTTGAACCCTTTTTTCTTTCTGAACACACATTGGTATATGCAATTGGTTGCTTATGATGCAGAATATTGAATATCTGTTTCTTTTCTTATTGTTTCCTTATGTTTATTACATTTATTTAGATTAATTAATATCTAATTGCATATCAACAGTGGAGAAAAGGATTGAAGCTTAGTGGTGAAAGTGCCGTTGAGAAAATAACCTTGGATGGAGTACGGGGACTGCGAGTCATGCTAAGCGCTACAGTTCATGATGTGTTATATTATATGAGCCCAATCTACTGTCAAGACATAATTGACTCGGTAATGCATGCATCATATGTTATACATTGTTTCCTACATTTTCTTTTTAAACTATATATATTGAACTTTGTTATTTCAAGCATCTATTTTCTATTGGGAGCCAGCTACTTCACCATCTCTCACATGCCTCCTTCAAAACTCATTCCCTGTTGCTAGCAAGTTTTAGCTCATTCACCACCTAATTTCTAAATGAATGCCATCTGAGTTTTGGAAAGTTATGATTATATTACATCGGTGAACATTGTTAATGTTTATCGAATATTTTTATTGATCTGACTGATTTCAAAATATATACTTTCAGTCTTTGTGGCTTTAAGGCAAAACTAGCGAAGGGGTTGATTTTGAATGGGGGGCCATAACTGAGGCTAGTGATTTTGGGAAATGCTATATGTATATTTTGGTCAAAAGTGAGATACTAGTTGCTCGTTACTTACACTGGCTACTTCGCATCACTAAGCAGGTCGTCCACCCGAACTTTTCTCATTGGAAAATTAATTAGTCCCTATAGTTTACATGCATGTCCAAGTAAGTCCTATGCTGTTAAATTTGTGAGCAAAGAACCCAGAAAAATAATTCTCTCAATTGTTTAAAGAAGAATACACGACTCCTTAAAAGTTAGGTAACAGCAGACTTGCTACTCAATACTTAGGAACAAGGGAAAATGTCAGACGTATAAAGCAATCTAAATGAGAAAATATCATGCCTACAAATCAGGGATAAAACATATAATCACAAATTGCCAACAAATATTTAGATAAAACTAGACTAAGTGGGGACAAATTTTGCCAATGCTCTCCTTTAAATTGGAGAATAGATGTTCAGCATCCCTAGCTTGCAACTTAGTTCTCCAAACCTTTTTCTTGAGAGTTCTTTCAAAAGAAAATCTGGAACTTGCATGTTGATGGATATTTGTGATTGGTCTGTTATAGCTGATTCTATTTTCTCCTTTTTAAATTGACAGTCTATCAGAACATGTACGGTCTTATCATGTTTTATAGGACATTTGGCGATGCCAATAGTGGCTGTGTTGGTACACCAAACTTTCATGGGGGATTGGACTCCAATCTTCCATTCAACTAGTAAAGCTATGCCGTGATATTCAGCTTTTGCATTGCTGCTTGCTACTACTAGGGTTTTACTCCTCCAAATGATAAGGTTCCCCTTTGTGCAGTACCCATTTGTTGACCTACTATTGGTGATTGAACTTACCTAATTTTCACCGGTGTTAACCTCAGCTCCTACTGGTCTTTCTTTCTTAAAGAATAAACCTTTTTTCCAGTTGCGTTTTATGGGTACCTGAGAATTTGAATGTTTCTTCCATACACTCCTTGGTCTAGCTACTTCCATTCCAAGGAAATATCTCAAGCTTTCCCAATTCATTGAATCAAATTCTGCAGCCAAAGATCTTCTTAAATGACTTATTCGCTCAAGATCATCTACTAGAATGACCATATCATTCACATATACAATTAAGACTGATAACTTGCTACTATGTGTGTACCTTATAAACAAATTGTGGGAATATTGTGCATTAATTGTAAATATCAGTTAGTATATAGTCTTTATTGGAATTTATTAGTATTTACGGGACTTTGAGGTTTTATCCCCCCTTGATGTATATATATTTTTTCTCGTAACTCACTATCACAAGAAATAAGAAAAAAACACATTTCTTCTCTCAATTATTCTACACAAAGTTGGTCCATTTGACACTGGATATAGTTGCTTTGCTACTCTGTTTAATACCATAGATATATTTGTGCAGCCTCTATTTATACTTCTTTGCTACCCTAGTGAACATCTCCATGTATACTTCTTTCTCCAAGCCTTTATTTAGGAATTCGTTTTTGGTATTTAGATGATGTAGTGGCCAATCTAAATTTGCTGCTAATGAGAGGATTTTGATGATGTTGAACTTTGCAAATAGAGCAAAAGTCCCTTGGTAGGCCAAGCACAGGTTGTGAATAACACCCTTTATTATTGCATCTTACATCACATAAGTCCTGCTCACAGGCCATGAAAGGATATAAATCGACCAAGTTGTGAAATTTTATGATTATTGCAGGCTTAAATAATTTGCAAACCATAAATACTGCTCTTGGATGACCCCTCAAAACTTAACAGTGGAAATTGCTTGGAATTGTACAAAACCGAATAGTGAGCATATTTATTAACGTACTAAATACATGATAAAATTCATTGTATCTCAAAGGAATTGGTCAAGTTAGAAAAATGAGATTTTATCCCATCGGACAAAGTTGATTAGAATAATATTTCTTTTGACTCATCAATGTACACTTTTGTAGGTATCAACCCAACTAAATCGGCTGTATTTGAAGTTTCTCAAACGCAATCCAGGATATGAGGGAAAGGTGCTTGTCAAAAACATTGGATCATTGGCTGAATTTTGTGAATTTTAATTTTCTACTTTTATGATCGCCTGTTTTTGCTGCATGTTGTGTAGGTTTCAATATATGCTCATTCTCTGGGAAGTGTGCTTTCCTATGATATTCTTTGCCATCAAGAAAATCTGTCCTCTCCGTGTCCAATTGATTCAATGTATAAGGAACATTATGAGCATGAAAATCCTCTTCTCACTGTGAAGGATCATCGTTCTGGGAGCTACTCATCAAGTCTTCAGAATGATATGATGAGCATAGCAAGTCTGTCTGATGAAAAAATGACTGCCAATCCGACCCCTTTAGAAATGGAGGCACAATATTCTGGGGACTCCTCGCTTTTATGTCCTGCTTTACCAATTGTACACAAATATGCTATGGAACATGACACTCAGAAACCAGAGCATGAGAGTGATGTTCATGATTTCCTTGCTGATTTGGGTAATGCACCTCATGAGAAAACTGAAGCATTATTGAAGACCGAGAATATGAAGGCCAGGATTCCTGCTGATGGTTTGGAGAGATTGAATGAAGAGGAACATGAGAATATAAGCAACAAGGATGAAGTAATCAGAATGCTCAGGGAAGAGGTGAAGTAACAATTTCTACTATTTTTCTTAGTAATCTAAATAACCATGAACTTGTTAATATATATATATATAAATTGCTGATAATTGATAGTTTCCGTCATTTAGGTTAATTCATTGAAAACCAAGCTTGTGGAACTTGAATCACATGGTAGCAGCCAGCATTCAAAAGAAGACCTAGGTTCTGGTAGCTACTAGTGTTCTCTATAAATTTGAATATATATGGTGAATGATTTATACGGTCATCTGACTTCTAATTTTTGATTGTATGACAAAGACCAAAAAATAAAACGTTGCATGTGTATGCCAGGGAAACACTCATATGAGAAGTTGCCTTCAGCAGAAGATGCACCAAAGAGTTACACCCCTTATATCAAATACACAAAGCTCCAATTCAAGGTATAAGGAGAAAAAATTGTTATCTGGTGTGTACAGATCTTTAAAGATTTACATTTTGCTTGTAGTTTTTTAAAAATCTAATTTGTCGCAAAATATGGATCATTTTTTAAAAAAATTATGCTGTAATCATTTCCTGTCTTGCTCATACGATTGAAATGCTTATATTGCAGGTTGATACATTCTTTGCTGTTGGTTCCCCTCTTGGAGTGTTTCTTGCCCTTCGTAATATCCGTATTGGCATTGGTAGTAATTTCTAAGTGACTTGTTAATGTTCCTTTCATTTTTCAATTATTGCACATCGTATGCTTTTAGAAGCCAGAATTTATATGTTCAGATGTAGTTTTCCACATTTTGGCACTCCGCGTTTATATTTTCCCTGAGGACCTTGCCAGTAATGTGCAATTCCTGTACTATCATGGCTTTTAAAATTTTAAACGGTGGGCTATAAAGTATGTTAAGCTTAAAGAGATTATGTTGGAGGATGTTAAGGGGAATAATTGATCAATTATGAAATATCTGCAAGTTCCTAAACTCATATTTCAAGGAATGATATTGGCTCACATAACTCGAGGCTCAACGAGCAAGTATAATCCTATCCCTGAAGTCTTTATTCAAATCCTCCGTTATACACAAATTCTCAGTTATATATCTGAAATTGCCCCTGTTGTCCCAAATTTTTTAAATTATAATAACTTCACAATAATTAAAAAAAAAAAGTCTTGTTATACTTCATTAGATTCATAGTGAATGGATTTTATCCTTTTGGGTGATTTTGTAGAATTTAAGAGGTATAACTAGAATCAGCTTTGTCCATGTTTGCTTCCAAAATTTACTTGTTTTATTTCCAAAAGGCATTGTTTGAATTTAAGTATTTTATGTTCTTTTCCACTTATTCCAGGAAGAGGCCAAGAATATTGGGGGGAGGAGAATATAATTGAACAGATGCCAGCATGCCGCCAGATGTTCAACATTTTTCACCCCTATGATCCAGTGGCTTACAGGTATGTCAAAATTATCACCACGATGCACTCCCTCTTTTGTTTAATATCAATAGACATCGCACCAGAGTCCTACATTGGTAGCCATAAGTAATCCCTGTAGTACCTAAGCGACATGGTTATTCACTTTACAAGACTGTTTTTTAAGAGTGGGCGTGCCATCCATGCTTCATTTATCTTCACCATGTGTGGGACCTCATAACCTAATATCTTCGCGTCAGTGATTTTCTTTGTACATTTCATTCCCCACCTTATGTTTATTCACTTGCTTCCGTTTTTCAATATGCTCTTAAAACATCTCAAGAACAACAGAATTGCTGCAGAACGAAGTGTGAATAATTATTGTTGAAGGAACCACAAAAAAATGCTGGAAGCAATGAACTCCTTGTTTCTGTTATTCATACACGACTGGAAATGATACATACTATTACTAAATGAGCTCCATTTTTTATATTCTCTTTTGTCTCTCCTGTTCACTGCCTTTCAATCTTGTATATTACCAAAATGCTCAGCATCTATTTCTACTGCAGGGTAGAGCCACTTGTATGTAAAGAATATATCAGCAAACGACCTGTTTTGGTACCCTATCACAGAGGAGGAAAGAGGTTGCATATCGGATTCCAGGTTGGAAAATTTTGATGCTACTATTTGACTGTATTGGTCTGTCTTTTCTATTCCTTAATCTGTTTAGTATGCGGTGTAGGAATTTACTGAAGACTTGGCAGTTCGCACAGAGACAATAATGAATCATCTAAAATCTGCAAGGGTGAGTTTGTTTTTATTTGTGATAAAAGAATTATGTACAATTCTGTTAGTTTTATTTTTATAATACAGTTAGGTAACATTTGAAAGAAAGGCAAATATTGTGAGAGATTGCATTTTATAACTTATATTACTAGACAGTTTTTAAGACAATTTTGGTAGACTTTGAAGCTTTGAAAGAAAATAACATCAGCTGACGCCAAGCAAGCAGGCAGCAGCCATGATTAAGGGATGAAAACCTTTCTTGGTATGGGTAAAAGATCAGAACATATATTTCAATGGCTTTGGATTGGATTTCCTATTAATCTGGATTTATTCAAAAATATTAGTGAGAAACCCTCTAGCCTTTGAGTGGATAGAGATGCTCCACCAAAAACCAAATTCTTCCTTCCCCTTCCTCAAAAATCCCCTCACAATATATCCCCTTCTAACTTACTTTGTCTATCAGCCAGTTAACCCATTTTGTCCAAGATGCTGCATAATTAGGTACATGCTTCCTTTTTTCTTGGTTCATTTAGAATGGTTAGCTCGCAGGACTAGATCTCTTCTACTTGCTTCTGCTAGAGGCCTTGTGCTTACACACGGCCTCATCTTTGTTGGTCAAGTCAAGCTTGTATATTGAATATACCTTCTTCAGTCTATTACAAAAATCTGGTAAAGGCCTGGGGTTCCTGAAAGCGATCCCATCTTTTAACTTCCCCGCATAATATTGCCATGCCTTGTATTGTCTCCTATTTTGTCAGATAGTGATCCAATGAGATGAAATTCAACTTTATTAGAGAGACTATAGTGTTGTATTTTCTCGTTTTTATGCAGGTAAAGATCCTTTCCGTCTGTCAGTCAAAGACAACAGAGAGTATAGAAGGTAGGGGAATTAAATCCACTTTATTTTCTTGGTTTTTCTTGTAATTTTGTTTCCTGTGCTTTTCTTTCTTGGGCAAATGGCAATTTAGGACCTATGACTTGCATTAAGGATCTTAACAATCAATATTCCTTTCATTGATCGGGAAAAAAGAAAAAAGAGAGAGAGAAAAATTGCCGTTGTTTTGTAAATAGTACCATTAGTGGTTTCGAAAGTTGCCATCTAGTCTTTCAGATGTTACATGGTGTTTTCATTTAGAAGTAACTACAAATTTTATATATCCTTGTAACATTTGGAAATTAGGTTATAAATTTAAGGACTCTGGGAGGTGACTTCAAGAAGAATCAACGTTGCCTTATTTTTTGGCCATTTACGAAAATTGAGTTTGATGGGTTTTAGGTATTACTGGTTCTGTTCTGGCAAAATGATGAAGATGGTGATCATTGGGATGCTTTTTTGGCTTTGTGTTACAATTTAGCGTTATTTTCGTTGTTGTCTATTTTTTTTAGGAGCATTTCCTGCCTATCTTCAATTCTCTCTGCAGGAACCTTTAATTTATGAACTAAATGAGATAGGCTAAATAATATCGGGGAATATTATATGAAGTAGCAATGCTGTTGGAAAAATACCTTCTAGTTCTAGATTCATCGTCATGACTTTTTCTCTTGTTTGACATTAAAAGTGCTATGTTTATATGTATTGAAATGTTTATAAATTATAAATGTAACATGACACATTAATTTTTACTTCATTTATGTGAGACCTTATGTATACACTGATTTCCACCCATTTTTAGATGCAGTTATCATTTCAATAATACTCACAATTAAATCTTGCTGTTTTCTCATCATTTTAATATTTTTCCTTGCAAATTTTTTCTTGTATTATGTGTCTACTTGAGTACTTTTTCATACAAGTGAACCTATGGTGTTGGTCTGGAGTCCTCTCCCAAAAGCTAGCTATTAAAATGGGAAAATCAACTGCTCAAATACCCTATAGAGCATCACATATTGCTTAATGTGAGATTTAAGCATCTTATACTCCATTAGTTTCCATCAATTGGCCTCATTAGGCGTGCAAACACCCTAGCAACTTCACTCTACAACAGTTAGCTTCCTCTGTCAGATCGCACTACAGTAAGATCTTGCCTGAAATCTGTCCAGACCAATTGATAGACACACTAGATGGGGACTGGCTGGGTATCCCTACACTAAAAGCAAGAAATTGGGATGGAAAAGATGACTAAAATACATCACAGAGCATTCTATACTAGCTTCCCATGCTGCCTAGTCTCAATCAACTAAAAAAATGTAGCCAACAGGGATTACAGAGTCCTTGATCTCCCCTCTTGGGGAGTTTTAAATTGATTTCCTGTTTCTTTGTAAATAACCAACTTTGTAATCATGAGGTATTGATGTCTAGCTCTTGCTGGATTTTGATTTTTCCCGTAATCTTCCTTCCACTGGCCAAACACAAGGAACAATGTTCTTATATTTTTCTATCCTTCTCCTATAAATACTTGTACCCATCGTTTGTAATTTATTTACTGCACTATTCAAAATTGCCTATTCTGCTCGGCATGTGTGTAATTATGCTTCTGCTTCATTGATAATCTTGTGTTGGATACATGGTTTCTTTTTTTGGTTTATTATAGAACTATAATGAGCCAATTGTTCTTTTGAATTGTATGTTTTAACTTTCCCAAGATGTTGCAGGAGACAATTCTGAAGAGGAAGAAACATATGGATGTCTTATGATGGAGAGGTTAACAGGAAGCAAAGGAGGACATATTGATCATATGCTTCAGGTTAGCAGTTAAACCAATTCGCTCTTCAACTCAATCCAACACCCTGGTGTCCGAAAATAGAACCACTGCTCAAAATTACAAAGTCCATAACAGTCTATATTATTTTGGCGTTCAAAACTACACTTACAAGTGTAGTTTTGAGTATAAAAATTTATATTTTTCCTTTTGATAGAATTGTATTGTGACAGTATTTTTATGCAGGATAAAACCTTTGAGCATCCATATCTGCAGGCCATTGGATCACATACGTAAGTGCTTTATGAAATTTTTGTTAAGCTATCGTAAACAACTAATATCTTCAGCACGCATCTTCATCTTTTTTACAGTCCAAAGTTCAACGACCAAAGTTTCTGGAAAAACTCCGGAAAAATCGCATAAGTTGTGGCCATTCATCTAATCACAGTGAAACATATAACAACAGAATGAAAATTGCTGCAATCTCCATAAGGTTTCACAGAGCATGAAAACACCAAAATTCGACAAACAGTTCTATTCTTGATGCTCGGGCAATGGTTTAGGGTTTCCTAAAAAGAAAAAAAAAAATCAGTTTGGTTTACTTAATTTTCATTTCATTTTTTTTCATTTGTAACAAGATGAATGCTTTGTAATTTTTATTTTGAGACTAACTGGTATTAAGAATTTAGTCAAGCCTTGTTAGAAATATAATTACATGTAGTGCTCCCAAACACAAAAAGGTACAAGTCATTGTTTTGAGATAGCATTGTACACTTAGCTGTTATTTAATAGTATTGGCATGACTTGTCAGCCTCGGGAACAATTTTATGCGGAGAGAGTTTGGGGTATGGTACATATAGAACATCCTCACACCAAGATTAGCTATCACAGCTTTGTCAGAGCCGAGCATAAGCTTAACACCACAAGTCCGTACAAGATGGAATAATGCCATTCTTTTGAGAGATTTAGAAATGTGAGGATGTGAAATTGCTATGATTTGATTGGTATGAGGTGCCATCCCAAAATGGTAATATTCTATGCTTCGTCGTATGGGATATTTAATGCTGCTTGACATCTATGTTACCCTTGGTCAGGATATCAGTGTACCAAAATGCCTGTTTAATCTTTAGCTTATGACTGAAATTTGTTTAATCTTTAGCTTATGACTGAAATTTATGTTTCCTCTTACTGGGCCGTAGCTGAGTTTGGCTTTTTCCTTGTAGTACACAATGAAGAGCTAACTAGTCCGTCCCAAACTTATGTTATTCAACATCTTGGCCGAGTCCTAACTTTCATGAATATTTCTTTGGTGGACAGGAACTATTGGAGAGATCATGATACTGCTCTTTTTATCCTGAAACACTTGTATCGAGAAATGCCCGAAGAGCCTAACTCATCTGTGAAATCTAGTGATGGCAAAAAGAATGAGATAGATTCTGCTGGTTGGATTGATCCAAGAGAGAATGTTGAGGAAGAACTTCCTTTGACGTTCGCTGACAATACCAGAGTCAGAAACTTCTCAAGGAAAGCCAAAAAGGTTATGAAATAGCACCTTTTGCAGGTGACTTCCACTTCTCTCTATTTTCTGTGCAGATTTTATCTTGGATTAGATTTTCCGTCTTTCCACTCCTAACGCTCAGGATGGGTGTTTCATACCTCTGCATGACGTAATGGAGATTGTGTAGTACATTAAGAGGGTGTACATTAGAAAGGATTCTTCATCTAACTTAGGGCTATTTCTCTTGGTTGATGAGTATAGAGTTTTCTAAGTCCACGTTAATGTACATAACTAGAAGAACAACTGTGTAATGTTATTCCAAATAATACAAGCTGTATAGTTCCAAAAAAGATTGGACGTTTTAAATAGTTTGACTTTCTTTTTTTCCCAGAATTTCAAGTTATTGTGTTGGATGGTATGAATGCCTCTTTTTTCTCTTTCCGAATGCCTTCTATCCTCTCCTCCTCCTCTTCTACCCCGTTGGTTGCTATAATAGTTTCCATTCCTCTCTTTTACCCCTGAATGCTTTCTGTTTAGAAAAGAAAAGGAAGAAAGAAACAATACCCTCTTTGGTTTGATTGCATGTGAGAGAATTATTTATAATCCCTGATGCATTCCCCCATTCCTTTTGTTTTGTTGGTCCAAGATAAAGGAGATTACAATATGTAAAGAAAATTATCTCAACTGCTACTGCCATACCATCATTAGGAAAAACTCCGAGAGGAAAGAAGACTCGAATATTATACCCGGGGGGGGGGGGAATCAAAGACACTCATGGGTAAGGCTGCCAAAGAAATTGTCCCCTTTTTTTTAATTAAAAAACAGTTTATTGTTTAGCCAACCGGAGTGAGAAGTTGAGAAGCCCAGACCCAACAGCCAACGAAAAGAAAGCCGATAGAATACAACAGGGAAGGAGAAAGAAAGCCCTACGGATACCAACAAGATGTTCGGTGAAATGGTAAATGATCTTATTATGGAAGAAAATATAAGTTTAAATTCTGAAAAACACACTTGTTCCTGACCTAATAGAAATTAGTCTTAAATTTAAAATGACTTGAAAATTCTCTAAGTTATGGAAAAAAAAGAAAAAAGGCCAATGTACGGAGTCATATAGTAGAAAAACAAGCCAATAGTCCGCGCCAAGCTTGTGAGTTGCACAACCGTGACCAAAATCTAAGCACATGAACTCGATGGAGTACTATTTAATATATCAGGGCTGTGTTTCATGCCATTAGTTTATCGATCATCGCGCTTTAAGATACTGTAGATGCTTATGGTCATAGAAGATTGGAAGCTTACATTTGAATGATTCTGACTAGGCTGAATAGTATCGCGTGAAACTAGGAAACTGTAATGGATTCATAGAAATGGCTATGCCTACGCTTTACTAAGTCTGACCAATCAAATAGGTATGAGCTGTAATTTTCCTCATATATTCATTAATCTATTACCGTCAGTCTCTACATTTAGTAAAGTCACCTGATTTTGGCACGTCATTTAACCTCGATAATGATATTATATTTATACATAACTTCCCTTTCTTTTGACCTACATATAACGGGTGACAATTCCATTTGTTTTTAACACTGCCTCAATTTTGCTTTTGATTCATTTTATTAAGATAAAATTATACTATTGATATCTCAGTTTGATCTCTTAATTTTAAAAAGTAAACATTTAGTCCTCTAATCGTATAATTAATCATTAATCTCAGTTCATAATTATTGTATAACAATCATTGTTATTTTAAATAACTAATTTGAAATTTCAATATTACTAATTTTCGGTATTACGTTAAGATTAAATAACTAAAAAGACAATTTATAAATTATATTGAAAGGAATAAATGAAACCTTACCTGAAGTTAAATGACTAAATATGCATCCCCCCCAAAGGATGATTACCCTTTTAGATTGTAACAAGGTTTTCTATGAAATTATAAGGATATGATATAAATACATTAAATAACAGTAAGATTAATCTATTTTGTATCTCCATCCCATTTTTACTTATCACTTCATTTCTTCTAAATTACTACCATTTAATGAGTTTTTCTACAGATACTGGCGTATAAAAAGAAAAACAAATTAATCCCCTCTCTCTCTCTCTCTCTACATATATAGGGACTTTGTTTCTCCATCAGATTGATTTTTCTTCATTGCAATTCCAAATCTTTTGGTGATGAGGTCATTACAAAGAGAGCATAATCTTGCAGTCAGCAGGAAGTTAAAAATAGATAGATAAAAATTTAAGTGTCCTCATGAGATATATTATTGTAAGCATAATTTTCTCATATTAGTTTTATCCGGAGCCTCCAAAAATGGCCTTCAGTCTCTTGACCTCTTGTTCATTAATCAAAGTGCTTGATGTTATGACTTGAGAGGCTAAATTGCTTCTGAAGAGGGCCAGGTCCGTAGTTTGGACACTAGGATTTGAACTAGAGAACCCTACAATTACTGGTGCTGGAGTGTCACCTGAAATAAAAATATATAATCATAAATACTAGTCGTAACTAACACATGATAATTACTGAAAACATTATATGATGCATAAATATATTTTAGAATAGTCCGATGCCTATAAGTCACTTGCAATTCATTTTTACCAAATCACTTATACAATTTTTTAAATTTGCACTTAATTATTTTCTCTCTCTCTCTCTCTATATTTCAAGTCATTTCTCACTCCTCTCCTTTTTTCTCTTTCTAAGAATAATTAAATAGGGTTAAAATTTGAAAATAGCCCATTAATAATCCTACAAATAACATATATTTGGGATCTAATTTTTTTTCCCTCCGAATTATCACTTATAACATCAAGAAAAATGTTTTTCTGTAGCAGAAGGCTTTTGGAATGCTACCTTTGTATCAACTCATTTTGATCCTAAATATATAGAAAGTAGTTGAAGAATTTATATTAGTTCTAAATGAAACACGTCAACCTATTTTATCTTTCAAATTTTTAATTTTTTAAACTATTCATGATAATTGCATATATTAAAAAAGTTTTCACTAAAAACGCAGTTGTTTTTAATGTAAATAATTGAAAGGCGTATTTTAACAAAATCAACACATTATCTCTTCTAAAGAAAATGCCATGGATATATATACCTTCATTGAACGCATAATGCAGTAAACCTTGAGGAACAACGAAAACATCCCCTTTGACAAGAGATTTTTGGTAGACAGTGTTGTCCGACGAAATGAATCCAAAGGTCACTTTTCCATCCAAAACAAGAGAAATCTCCGAAGCATCTGGGTGTGCATGAATTGGCACAACCCCACCCTTCTCAAAATCTGCACGAGCCAAGGAAAAGCCAAGGCCATTGAGCCCAGGAAGCTGGGAATCGAACGTAGATTTGAACCCAAACTTGAAAATCTTTGAGCTGTTTCCAGGAACATCTAACCCAGAAAACACAAAATCATTCACAGTCACTTTTGAAGGATCTTTGCAAGAAAATCCTGAAGGACTAATGGGAGCTGTGTAATCTGCAACACAGAAATCTTTTGCAGAGGCTTGAGAAAATGATGAGGAGAAGAGGCAAAAGAGGGAGAAAACTAGAGAAATCATTCTCACCACTGAATCTGATATTCTGATATATTTGTGTTTAGGAGTGATTCCCTAAGCGTTTGGCTGCTTGTGTGTATATATACAAGTAAGGAGGGTGTTGATATTTGTGAGCCATCAATTGCTGTTGGGTATTTGTGATATATATGGACATTAATGGTGGAGATTCAAAGATAATACATTTATTATGTTAGATCTTCGGAGTTAAAGGTTCCAACTCATTTCTTGTTCATAATGTTCTCTTGAAAATTTCAACCAAAATTTAACCCAAGCATATATCACTATCAGGTTCAGTCATTAAAACTGTTTTTAGAAAGTCATAGAACATATATTGGATGATAATATTGCCTTTTGTGTGTTATGAGAATTTTCAAATGAAAAGGTAATAATGAGATTTAATTACTCTGACTTTTTTCATAATTAGATTTTCGAATTCAAATTTAGCTTTCAAATCATTTTCAATTGACTGGACCTGATAATAATATGATTGGTTAATTGTGCACGTAAATTATATTGGGAGGGCGTTGAAATTTTTTAACCATTTTGTGTCAAAAGAAAACTGTTGGATCATTATGATATGGAAATGAATCATATTGATTCAAGAGATAATTATACATTTAATGTGTCAGATCTTCGAAATTACAGAGTAGTTCCACTTATTTCTTGCTCATATTGTTTTTTTTTTTTTAATAAAACAAGATAATTTCACCGTGTTAAAACATTTTTTAAGAAATTGGCAGAAGGTATCTCGATCGGTGTCGGATCACAATGCCTTTGTGTTTAGAATTTTCAAATAATAACAATAATGAGATTGTGTTACTCTGGTTGTTCTTAATTATAATTAGACTTTAAATTTTAAATTGAGTTTTCAATTTAAATAACTACATTGAATATTCGTAATCTTTTTCATATTCAATTATTATGGTTGTATTTTCTTCTTCTTTTTTTCCTTTTTAATGGTGTGAAATTGTGTGCTGACTTAACTAGCTAGGCATATTTAATTATTGAATTCATAATTTTTTATTTTGTTCTATAGTGTCACATCCTGTAAAAATTAACCCTGATAATGGGTATAACAAAGTAAGTTGAGGGCCAATATGAAAGGTAGATTGGATGACGAAGCCAGACATGATATAAAATCCGGATAGGGTCTGGATTGATATTTTTGAAATTATTGGTCCAGAAAGAGCAAAATGGGAAAATTTGAAAAAAATTTCAGAAAATTCGGAAAAATTTTCAGAAAAATCCTAGAAAATAGTAAAAAGGTAAGTTAGAGGTTTTGAAATCTCAATAGAGGCTCTAAAGGTTAAAAAGGTGTGAAAATAGCTATCTATAGAATTTCCTGAAAACAGATGTTTTTCAGAAAAAATAGTAAAAATTGAAGAAAAAATTATTAAATATTTAGAGGCCTCAATAATTTTGAAAACAATATGGAATAATTATCTAAATGTTTGTAAGAATTTATAAAATTGATTTCAGGCCTTGAAAGTACAGAAATTAATTTTAGAGAATTTATTTCCAAAAGTTTTACCAATAAAACCCTATTTGGAGAAAGTTTAAAATAAATAATTAGATGTGGAGAAAAATTCTAAAATTTTTCAGATCATATTATTATGTTAAAAGAGGATTTTTCATGGAGAAAAATGTGATTTTTGAGGCCTAAAAAAGTTATAAAAAGTTACAAGTGAATAATAACTGATAAGCTTCAATATTATTTGGAATTAATATTTTATTGTTAGGCTAAATTCTTGAGACTTTCCAAATCAAAATTCAGCCCCACATTGGCCCAAGAAAGGCTCAAAAATTAGTGCAAACCTGGCCCAATAATTAAAATGGATTTAAGCCCAATTTTCACATAAAAATCAATGGAGTATTCTTGGAATATGGACATATGGCATGATCTGAAAAATTGGAGGGTTTGCTGGCAGCCACATGGCCATTTTTGCTGGCCAAATTTTGGCCATTGATGGGGGGAAGATGTCAGATCTTTTTGTCTATAAATACCCCTTCATTTTATTCATAATTCGGATAAATTGGGAAAATTAGGGGAAAATTTTGTCAAAATCAAAACTCATCTCCAAACAGCTTCAAATGCCCTCCAAATCCAAGGAAAATTGTCAAGCTTCAAGTTAGGACCCATTAAAGGAGGTCTAAACTTGATTTTGGTTGGATTTAAGGGTTATTGTGATTCATATTTCATAAAAATTCTATGGTATGATGCTGCTGCAATTCGGCCAGACCAAGAATGATTTAGGAGGATAGGAACCATGGTTATGAGTTTGAAATTACATGTTTAGTTGATGTTTGGATTGAATTTTGGAAAAAAATCAAAGTTAGGGTCCTATGGCATACAATTCGACCACTATGATTTCTTGAGGTAGGAGTTTGTTTTGATATGATTTGATAATTCCAATGAGTTCAAAAGATATTTTTATATAGGAAAGCACCAAGAGAAAGTGTTTAAAATCATTAGAATCAAAAATAGAATTTTTGAAAAACAATACCCCCTATTTGGCCAATGTAAAATAAAAGGGAAGAAGTGTGATTTTGATAAATCTGATTTGATATTTGGATTCTACATGAAAAATTTATGTAGGAATGGATCAAGAGATTGATAGAAATAAAGATGAATTAATTATGTCAAAAATCAAGAAAAAAGAGGTTTAATTGAGCTTAATGTCAAGCAATTGTGTTTATACTTGAATTATTGATAATTTGAAATGCGTTTATGTATGAATCGACAGGCATTGTGCAAGAGAACAAGGAGGAACCCAAAAGAATTAAAGAGGCTTGGACTAAAAAGAGGTAGCATGGAATTCACAATTTATAATGTTAACTTGCTTGGTTGTCGCATAGTATGATGTCATGAATAATGGCTATGTTATGTTTGAGATTATTTAGTGAAAATGATATGTTAGTTGATTGCACTATATGCCTTGGCAAAATGTATTAACATGTTATTTATTAGTGAATTGTGATGATATTTGCATGGCATAGAATATTCATGAATATATATATATATATATATATGTAATCTACTTTGTATGTTTGACATTATAATTGTAACTCCTGCTATTGAGATTTCTATGAAATCTCATTCCTTTATACGCTAATATTCACCAACTAATGGTTGGATCATGCAAAGAGAAAGGAAAGGGATCTATTTTGGAAGATGATTAAGCTTATTGTTATTGAAGTTATGTTTGTAATCATTACACATTGTTATGTGTTATTATGTATGTTGTTGAATTACGTTGGAACATTGTATTAAAGATTGGGGATGCTTATATGTGAGCAAGCAATTAAAGAACCATGTTTAGGTATGTATTATGTAATTGGAAGGGTTATGTGAAAGGAAAAGAAAAGAAAAATTATGATTGTATGAAAAGAGGTAAAAGTTGACTTTTTAAGGGTCAAGTTTGACCAATGAAATTTTATGCAATTGGATGAATTTTGAGCTGAAACTTGGCAGACTTATATATCATATTTTTAGCTTTAAAACAAGTGATATTTTATCCAATTTGAAGTTTTGTACAGAAAGTTATGCTTCTGAAGTTAGACATAAATCTTGAAAAATTAAAAAAATGACCAAATAAACAGTATCATTTGGAGCGAAATCTGGGATTAATGCATGAGTTTTGGATACCAATGAGTATTTTTTCTTTAAAGAGCATGTCAAGATTTTTCTATGGAACTTAGAACCATCTCATTTTGATTTTTCTAGAATTAGTTGTGAATTTTTAAAATTTGGCCTTTGTAAAAGTTATAACGAATAGTAACTTGAATTTAAGAAAATTTAAAGTTCAACTTTTTTCAACCCAAAGCCATGATAAGTGATTCCAAATGGTTCCAATTGATATAAAGTGAGGTATAAAAGAAAGGTGTGACACATAGTATCTTCGAGGATTAGTAAATTGAAGAACGAAACGGTAGTAGGAAATAAATTAACAACATTTATTTATCTGTTGGTCAACATCAATTAAAAACGTTCGAGTCATGGGTACCATAAATTTGGATTATTCAATTTATTATGGAATCATCAATATGATATGCAATATAAATATAGAAGAAAATCACATTTAAAGGCACATGAAATAGGAAAATCATACAAATCGGTTGGCAAATTCATTCCTAAATTGGGTCAAATGTGACTTTGGAATTTTCTTTTGCAAGAGTGATGAGGATCATTATGATTGGCACCTTATTTCAGAGAAATTCTTGCATGCTCTTGGAGTGCCAACTCATCTTTGTCTGCCCAATACAAATGCTGGAACTCATTATTTTAATCTACATGGCAACCTACTAATTTCTAGTAATCTGTTTTTTTTTAAATAAAAATTTTTAGGGCTCCCTAATTTTCTCTTCTACCCTGTCTTTGCTCTTTCTCAGATCTTCTCAACTCTCTCTTCATTTGATCCCCTCTCTCTCTACCCCTTTTTCATTTCTTCAAGTACCCACCATCTAATCACTGCTAATGTCTCCCAACTGTGGTGAAGGAGATGAAAATGCACAGGAAAAGAAAGCAATATCATAGCACGTCCTTCACCTCAATTTCTTCTATCAAATGCCAGTGACGGTGGTGGCACATCTTTCATCAACACCCTGTTGAATAAAAATATGCTCTTTCTTCATTCTCTTATTAACTTGCATGCAATGTTTTAAAAGCTGGACCGGATGTCAAGCCGGATAGATCAGCGGGTCATGGTTCAAAAGGTCAGATCGGTTAGACCGTCTGGTTGGACCGGTAACATAATAATTAAATAAAAAGTATATACATATATAATAATATATGTGCAAAAAATAAGATATATAATTATAATTATAATTTAAAAAACAATTAAATAGTATGAATTTCATGTTACGGAAGAGTTGAATTAACGGAAGAGAATTAAATAAAATTGTCAGTTTCATATTAATTGTCAGCTTCAAGATTAGCTCTTGTGAAGGCATAGTTGAGTAGGTTATTGTGTTCAAGAATTTTGTGTTATAAAGGTTGTTAAAGCAGTCACTTCCATCTATGGTCTTGCAAACTAAATGACAACTGAGGAACTCATATTGTTCCCCAGGTAGAGACTTACACATATACTCATTGATGTTATTAACCACCTCCAGAGTAGGATCATAATCGCCTTATCATTGAAATAATCATCTGAATGCAAATTATCCAAAAGAGAAGGGCAAGTTGATGAAACAATCGCTTGGATGGGATTCCTTACATGAGTTAATGCCAACTCAGGCGAGATCTCAATCTCTGCAACACCATCACAAGAGACACCAATTTCTCGATCACCTATGTCCAATAGCCATTGAGAGAATGAAACTAACTTCTGTTGGTCAGACGATGATGAAGTTACACTACTACAAAAAGGTCCATTTTCGTCTCCCATTTTTGTCTAAAATTGTAAACAGACGAAAAAAGGGTAATATATTCGTCTGGTTAAGCCAAACAAACAAGCAGAAGGCTCAATATTCATCTGTTGGGACATGATAGATGAGTATGGGGCATCATATTCGTCTGGTCACACCAAACAAATATGATACTGAGTATTCATCTGGTCTTATATGACCAGACGAATATGGGTCCAGCTTTTACAGACCCAATTTTTTTTAATTTCCTGCCCCCCATTCCCACCAAAATATACTTTACTTACTCCATCTCTTTCAACTCTTATCCTATTTTCACAGTCTCCCAACCTTTAATTTTTCTCCCAACCTTCAAGTATTTCCCCACCTCATAACCCCCCTTCCAAATTCACTCCCTTTCCCAGAAAATTCCTCACCCCCACTACGCCGGTCCCCACCCCCTTCCTACTCGGCCTCTCTTGTCCCCCCACCCCTATAAAAACCCCACCAGTCTCCGTGTTCCCCCCACCCCCCACAAGAACTCCACGGTCCTGGTACTCCCCCTACCCCCAACCGTGTTCCCTTAACCACAATGCCCCCTCCTCATGCTCCCCACCCCACCCCAGCCCCCTACAACCCCGTGTTTCCCTACCAAAACACCCAACACCCCCGGCCCCCCCCCAAACCATTCCCCCAGCTTTCAATTACCTACCAATGCGGTAGCTCCTCCCCCCCAACTGAAGGTCGACTCTCCTCTCCCATTTCATATTTTCTTCCTTTTATGGTACTATTAATAGCACACATAGTGCATGGATAGTTTTGCTTGTGATTTACAACTTACCTCCCTGGTTATGCATGAAGTGTAAGTATATGATATTGTCTATAATGATTTCAGGACCAAAATAGCCGGGAAACAATATCAACGTCTACTTGGCACCTTTGATTAAAGGCTTGAAGAAATTATGGGAGGAAGGTGAAACATCCTATCTTTAACCCCTCAGGGTATGGATTTGGAAGTGTTATGGTTCAAGCAATTCACAAAATAAGCCCATAGATTAAAAATTTACAATTGGTCCTTGGGTTACTGTTTATTGGTTAAATTTCAGATTTTCAGTCCAACTTTGAGCAATCATAACTCTTAGTACACACATCCGTTTTAAGTGACCTACTACTTGTTTTAAAGCTCAAGATGTGTACTTTAATCATGCCAAATTTTATGAGCAGAGTCAGTCATTTGTCATACTTCTACTCTATCAATATTTTGTTGCTCAATTAGAGATAACTTATCCCCTAACTTGCACTAACAATTCATGATTAGGACTTTCCATATATAATACCATTCCATTGATACACTAACCATTCCCATACATTATCATAGCTAATTACACAAGCCAACATCATCATTTATCATCACATACTATCAATGGCACCTTTACAACATACATTGATATATACAGTGTACAACGTAATGTAATATATTTCTTAAAGTCTTTTCCTCTCTTTCTTGCTCCACGTCTTGATTTCTTCTCCCATCCTTTTGCACCTAGTATGGTTGGTTAAGGGAGGGTGAGATTCAGGAGAATCTTAATAGTAAACATTACCATTTATACATGCAAGATGGATACAAGTGTATGACATGCTTTTGTGCACAGATTTATCGTTTATGCATGGTGAAATGCCATGGAAAGTAAGTCAGTTTATTCATATTCATATAATATAATGCCAAGGCATGCTTAATTAAACATAGCAATCATATTTTAGTAGCATAGCTTAATCACATCATGGCATTCATAACACATACACACATGCACATCAAGCACACAAGAAAAGTAAGTTCGCTACCTTATATCATAAGTTTTCTCTTGCTCTTCAACTTGCTCCTTTTTGCTTCCAACCATTAAGGTTGCTTCCTTAACCTTTGCCCTTTCTTTTCCTTGATGTCTCATGGCCCTAAACGCACCAACACATCATTTCTATTCATTCATTGGAGCCATGGTAATCAATAACATCAATACTTTGTTTTCTTTGAGCTATATTAGCTTCTAACTTTTGAGCTTGATTTCCAACCTTCCCAAAATTAATTCCACATACTATTCCCACATAATTTTGCCTGTAAAATCTATTTCCAAACTCAAAATAATCAAAATCAAACTCCTCCCTCCTCAACTTGATCTGGCCAAACATAGGGTCTTAGGGCTCAAAATTCCATTTTCAATTCTAATGTTTCCAAATTTGTTTTCTCACATTTACCGTGCAAAATTTTTCATTTTAAATATATTGGAAGCATCAAAATCATCAAAATCCAATCCTAGCCCTAAGAACCAGCCTTGGTAGAAATATTACTCAAGTTACACAATCATAAAATTCAACCAATTTCAACATAAAACCACTTGATTTATGTTCCTTTCAAGTCTTTAAACATTATTCTAACATCAATTTCATTTTTCCCTATCCTTAACAATTGCAGCATGCCTCCTTAGGGTTTCAAGCTCTAAAAAATCATTAAAATCCATAACAAAGCTCAATAACAACAAGGGTAGTGAAAACTACATCAAAAACTATGAACATACCTTGTTTTGGAGCTTGATCTTGCATATAACCGCTTGGCCTTTCTCTCTCTAGAATCCATTTTGCAAAAGTTTCCCCATAGGTTCATGGCTTGCACGAAAATAAGGGATGGGGAGGGGGTATTTATAGAAAACAAGACTGAATATGGGCCGTTGATCTTAAAAATACGTGGCTTGATCTGGACCGTTTATTTTCTCTTTTTATCTTGTGGTGACAAGTGTCCCATGACATCATACTTACATCATCTTGATGACATCATTCTTATATCATCATTCCACATACTTTTAATCCAACCGTACACGTGTCTTGCATCCAGCTGTAGACACAATACCTTCTTTTCCCATCTAACTGTACACTTGTCTCCTCCATATTCCTTCATCATTTTAGCATTAAAATTGGGAGAAAATTAATATAAAATTCGTGTAAAATACAACCCTTAGGTATTCCTCCACCTATCTTGTCATTCTACACTGTATAGGGTACTTTTTGGGGCCTTGACTTACCCGGGACCATTGGAACATGTTCTAGTACCATTTTCTCATCTCAAATAAATCCACCTGGCATTATATAACATGCCCAAAGAGAGAGTGATGCTCTTCTCTTGTTCTCCCATTAAAATAATTAAAATAATTAATAATATTTATTTCAGAGTGATCTTAACCGAATTCTTTCTACCGGTCCATAACTTTGAGAATCTATCTCCGGGTACCAATCTATTCATTCATCACGGGGAATTCCTCTAATTTTTCTTAAGTCAAAAGTCTGAAACATCCTACCTTTAACCCCTCAGAGTACGTGTTTGGAACCGTTATGGGTCAAGCGATTCACAAAACAAGCCTGTAGATTAAACTTTGTGATTGGTTATCAAGTTACTGTTTACTGGTAAATTTTAGATTTTTAATCCAACTTTGAGTAATCATAACTCTTATCACACACATCCGTTTTAAGTGATCTACTACTTGTTTTAAAGTTCAGGATGTGTACTTTGATCATGCTAAATTTCATGGGCAAAGTTAGTCATTTGCCATACTTTTACTCTATCATATTTTATTCCTCAATTAGGGATAACTTATCCCCTAACTTGCACTAACAATTCATGATTAGGACTTTCCATATATAATACCATTCCATTGATACACTAACCATTCACATACATTATCATAGCTAATTACACAAGCCAACATCACCATTTATCATCACATATCATCAATGGCACAATTACAACATACATTGGTATATACAGTGTACAACGTAATGTAATACATTTCTTAAAGTCTTTTCCTCTCTTTCTTGCTCCACTTCTTGATTTCTTCTCCCATCCTCTTGTACCTAGTATGGTTGGTTCAGGGAGGGTGAGATTCGGGAGAATCTCAATAGCAAACATTATCATTTATACATGCAAGATGGATGCAAGTGTATGATATGCTTTTGTGCACAACTTTATCTTTTATGCATGGTGAAATGCCATGGAAAGTAAGCTAGTTCATTCACATTCACATAACATAATGCTAAGGCATGCTTAACTAAACATAGCAATCATAGTTCGGTAGCATAGCTTAATCACATCATGGCATTCATAACACATACACAGATACACATCAAGCACACAAGAAAGGTAAGGTCGCTACCTTGCATCATAAGTTTTCTCTTGCTCTTCAATTTGCTCCCTTTTGCTTCCAACCATTAAGGTTGCTTTCTCAATCTTTGTTGTTCCTTTTCCTTGATGTCTCATGGCCCTAAATACACCAACACATTATTTTCATTCATTCATTAGAGTCATGGTAATCAACAACATCAATACTTTGTTTTCTTTGAGCTATGTTAGCTTCTAACTTTTGAGCTTGATTTCCAACCTTTCTAAAATTAATTCCACATACTATTCCCACACAATTTTACATGTAGAATCTATTTCCAAGCTCAAAATAATCAAAATCAAACTCCTCCCTCCTGAACTTGATATTGTCGAACATAGGGTCTTAGGGCTCAATATTCCACTTTCAATTCTAATACTTCCAAACTTGTTTTCTCACCTTTACCCTACACAATTTTTCATTTTAAACAGATTGGAAACATCAAAATCATCAAAATCCAATCCTAGCCTTAAGAACCAGCCTTGGCCGAAATATTACTCAGGTTACATAATCATGAAGTTCAACCAATTTCAGCATAAAACCACTTGATTCATGTTCCTTTCAAGCATTTGAACATTATTCTAACACCAATTTCATCTTCTCCTACTCTTAAGAATTTCTTACAGCATAACCCATTAGGTTTCAATCTCCTAAAAATCATTAAAATCCATAACTAAGCTCAACAACAACAATGTTAGTGGAAACTATATAAAAAATCATGGACATACCTTGTTTTAGAGCTTGATCTTGCATATGGCCACTTGGCCTTTCTTTCTCCCTCTTCTTTCTCTCTCTAGAAACCATTTTGCCAGAGCTTCCTCAAGGTTTCCATGAGGTTAGATGAA